ACCCTAACCCTAACCCTAACCCTGACCCTAACCCTACCCCTACCCCTAACCCTTGTTTACTTGAGATAACGCTGAAAATTAAAAACTGCCGGGCATTTAGGAAATCGAAGACCGTGCCCGGCAGCCGTCAGATATATGCCGGCTGCCGGGCATATAGCCACAGCGATAAATGTATGGGCAAGATAATGATTATTCTATTATTTTACGTAAGTCTTAACTCTAATGACTTGCATCATGAAACCAAACACATGCATGAACACACATTGCGATAAAGGCAACACTAGCGTGAAGTTTAATTGAAAACATCAATATCAACACAATACATTTACACGCGACCACAAAGATACAATAGTAACGTGCAGTTACTTTTTAAGTCGTAAAAAAATCGACTTCCGCGTAAGTCGAAGCTTTTCCTCCAGTCTCGTTGGATTAGACTTAGGCGAGGTCGACTGTAGATGTGAATGATAGGGCTGAGGCAATGCGAGTTATTATGAGGAAAAATTCCACCTTATCAAAAGCGACTTTAAGCAGTTGGAACTGTTTGTTTATGTTCATATGTTACATGACAGTAACCACTAAACCATTCTTAGGTGCTAAGAAGCATGTGATTGAGCTGGATCTCGCCTCTTCTGTAGAAGATTTTGCAGCCCTAGTTGAAAGAGCCACTGATGTGCCAGTTGCTTCACAAAAGCTAATTTTCAAAGGTATGTACATGTGCACCTGCAACGTGCCATTGCTAAATTTGCATGTGGTACATAAACAATGCATTTTTTACCAGAAAAAAATACCAGCTGAAATATTGGAATAATTTTTATTATTGTTATCCGAGCTGTGAATTGGTCGTAAAGCTATTGCAATTAACAGATTTCCTTATTGCAGTATATTTAGGAAGCACTTTGCAATAATTTGCATTGAATTTCAGGTAAGACCCTACAGTCAGTCAACACCTTGGAAGCATCAGGAGTTTGTGATGGTTCAAAGATAATGCTGATAGGCCGGAAAGTATGTTACTGTAAACAACATTTAATCATAGAGTTTATTGCTATTCATGTACTACTAAAGACTATGCTATTTCTGGATTGTCTCTTATTGGATTTTAATCAAGATGTAAATTGATCTGATCTTTAATTAAATCACCTATTAAAAAAGGGCACAGCTACTAGTGGCAGTAAACAATGTGATTTTAAGAGGGGCTTCACGGCAAGTGAGTGGGGCATCAGGGCAAATGGCCGCACTGGCGCCGTGTAATTCGAGCGCTGATGTAAATGAGTTAAGCTAATGTATATACCCATGCAAGCACAGCTAAGGATGACAAATTTTTTCTCTGGCAGCATGCTGCGGAAGAAGAAATGCAAATGAAGGAGGTTGAGAAGGTTGAAAAGGAGGTCGATGTGGCAGAGAAGCAGTTGCTCGAACTAGGAAAAGAAATCGATGGCATAGAGAAGGTATGCTATGGATGTCTCTTAAAATTGTTATACGGTATGCCACAGGCTTGCGAGTTTTTATTCTCAGCATAAACTTTAATTTTAACACACACATATATATATATATATACATATATATATGTGTGTGTATGTGTATATTATTTTTTATGTATATATTATATTTCGTGTATATAGCAACACACATATATATATACTGCTATATACTGCTATATATATAAAATCAGTTTATTGTGTTAGTGTAGCGTGTATTTCTGCGTTGTTCGCCCCCTGACAGGGTTGGCTGGAAGGCATGCAAAAGCGGGAGGCCCTCGGCAAGCTGTCGAAGCGGGCGGCTGTCGCGACCGAACAATTTATGCGAAGACTCGTGAAACTCGACGCGCTGGAGATAGGAGCCGAGCACAAGTCTGCCAGGCTGCGCAGGAAGAGTCTAGTCGTGCGGCTGCAGGTGAGGTTTGCTAATTGCGATGTCAGAGTAGCAGGGATACCGAGAATCCAAACCATGCAAGTTGTGGTGGTGGAATCGGCTTTGCTGTTTGCACTACAGTAAAAACCCGCGTATAAGAACATAGATTTTAAGAACCTGTTAGGCTAAAATTTCCCATTTAGACCCCTTTACATAAGAACCTGTTTTAGGCTAAGATTTTAAAGTAGGTTCTTAATTTTCCATGCAGATGAAAACACAGGTAAAATAAAAAAGACGAGCTCAACAATACCGATGAATGTGCATCTTTTTGCATATTGTTTTGTTTCCTTGGATACATACTGTATCATACAGTATGGTAAGCACTGAAAAACTTACACTGTAGCCCATCATGGGTATTAATTAGCAAAAATTGCAGTCCTTGTAAGAAAATTTTAACACAATTTGAATCAAGTATAAGCTTATACATATTAAAAGTAGAAACAATTAAGAACCTATTTAAGAACCTTTTGAGCCTAATTTTTCAGTAAGCACCATTTACATAAGAACATATTGAGGCTAACTTGGAAAAATCTATGTTCTTATACGCGGGTTTTTACTGTATTAGAACATGGCATTGTCACTTGCACTATGCACGGCTGCAGGTGAGGTCTGCTAATCGTGATGTCAGAGTAGCAGGGATGCATTGAAGATGGCCCAATCGAATATGACTGCGGGGCGGATCAGACTATGGGACATCTCCTGAAATGGCCCCTTTTACCAGCAGGGGCGTAGCCAGGATTTTAAAAGTTGTAGGCACGACTATCTGAGCGGAGCGTACAAGAAAATTTTTGGTTTTACAAACCCCCCAGATGGCCGGAAACGGCCCTTCCCGAGTGTTCATTCTGGTTCCCTGGCCTCTTGCTAACTTGAGACACCTCATTCAATATCACTTTTAAACCCAAAAAACAAAAGAGTTAAAATAGTGTTACGAACGAGTTAAAATGTTAAAAAACTGACAAGATCGATATCCTAGTCTTTTTCGGCGGGTAGAGTGTTGAATGAAATGGCACGCGATAGAAATGACAGCCTAGATGACAGAAGAATAGGTCACCTAATTTAGCCATATTCTTGCTACGTTCATTTCAATCGTTTTTCCTGTCTAGACTCGTAAACTCGTCCAGCAAGCTTATGAATTTGAATTATGGGTGTTTTAAAAAAAAAGATAACTTGGCCAAAAAAAGTGTAGGCCCGGGCCTACAGTGCTACATACTGGCTACGCCACTGACCAGAGCCCTGTGGACCTAGAGACCTTGAGGTTTTCAACCACCGTGTAAGGTCCTGTGTTCTGCAGTGGCTAGGTCGAGTGTAGTGTAGTGGCCCGAGAAGAAGAAGAAGAAGAAGAGTAGTGGGAATACGGAGAATCTGTGCAAGTTGCTGTGATGGAATTGGCTTTGCTATTTGCACTATTAGAACATGGCATTGTTACTTGCACTTTCAGAACATGGCGTTGTCATATGCACTGTCTAGAAAAATGCCAGTACAGTTTTCTCTTGCTCCTATTAAAAATTCAGCACTGTGTTTCCACACTCGCCGATATATATTGGAGTACAGGGTATTATGACTTATATCTGCTATGTCCATATAGCAAATTTTAACTTTCTCTTTTTTTGCAGAAACTTCTACAAAAATGTGATCAGGGAGAGGAAAGATTACAGCGGTTATTATCAAATGACGGCTCGTCCTGATATTAGATTATGAGGTTAGTCTGTATACGAAGGTAGATAAATGTCGCAGTATCTGTCATCACTGTTTGTTTGCAGGCTCAGGCTTGGCTTGTGAATAGAGTTAGTTGATCATATTGCACAAAAGAGTATAAAATGTAATTTAGTGGGTAATCCACACACGATAATGCAAAACTCAAATCTACAGAAACTGTAATTTCATGTTTTCTGTTGCAGTTACACAACATGAATAAAATCAAGAGCTAATAAGACCTTAAGAGCTTAAGAGCTATAATAAAAGAGGTATTATTAGCTCTTGATAAAATGTGGATCCAGCTGGACTAGGATATGCCATTTTAGAAGACTATGATATAATCAAGAGCGATATAATTGGTTATGCAGCGGTTTGAGGCGATAAGTGTAGCTATATGTAGCACACACAGCCGATGGAAGATCAACTGAACGTATTCTATACGTATTCGTCTCCCCACGTGTTATGTCTGCAAAAAATTAACGTTGAGGTACAGCTTTAGTACTTACTTTTAATGAAGTTTTTACTTAGCAGGTGTAGTTTTTTCGAACAGACTGTAACGATAAATTATTATTAACTGGTAAAATAACATCGAGTCATCAGAAATCATACTTTTATCTCATGTTATATTTTCTGGAGTACATCAATAGAGATAGATATATCTTGTATCGTATTGGAAATACGATAATAACTTATTTTCCTGTTATTTTATATAATTATGATTTTCTTTTTTTTTTTACTAAAGCAACAGCCTGTAATGCAATAATGGTGATGCATGTTATTAAATAACGTTGAAGTCCAAATTTGTCAAATAGAAACGGATGATTTCAATATGTGATGCACACAAAGACAAAAGAAAGGCTTGCACATGCACACGTGGGCAAACGCATGCACATTTACCATGATCAAACCAGACTCCCCTAGAACATTCAAGCAGCACATCGCATGCTTGCTACAACCAGTTCACATCGTAGTAACTACTAATATAAGGGGTCGTTCACAATTATCAACATTTTCACAAGCGTACAAACGTACGCTGGGGGGGAGGGGGTCAATGCCCGCCGTACACTTTCAGCATTTCCGAAATATGTCAATCAATTTCTCGAGCCGCGCGCCCCAGCCGGCATCGCGCACATCCTCACGCCGCGACGCGCCGAGCCCCGGCCAACCCGCGCCCCGCACGGGCCCGCTGAAAGAAAATTTCATTCTTTATATCAAGAATTCGTTATATCCGTGCTCGTTATAACAGGGTTTGCATGTAACTCATATACATGTAGTATCTCTATGTAGAATAGTGTGAAAAAAATCAAAATTTTTCTTCGTACACTTTTAGGGGGGGGGGGAAGGAGGGTCTCGAAAAGCGTACTCTTTGCACACTTGTGAAAATGTTGATAATTGTGAACGACCCCTAAACTAATACATACAATAAGCGAGTTCGGTACGCATTACAACTAAAGGATGTACCTTACAACACTCAATACCAAACAAACAACTTCTTGGAGCGGCTTGCACATATAGAGCTACATAATTTACGTTGAATTAAAGAGCGTAAAACCCGTTTTGCATTGAAACAAAGTGCTACCTGATTTTCATTATATCAACTAGCTATAGTAGCTAATGCTGAGAGGGTCTATGTCCCCCAGGGTACTGCCGGAACGTACCCTGGTTACGGTCCAGTATACCGGAACGTACCCTGGTACTATTTAATATGCTGGACCGTACCTCGTCTACTCCACTAACGAGTCTAGGGAGTCGCCTACGCCTACTCCCTAACCCTAACCCTAACCATATTAGATAGTTACCAGGGTACGTTCCGGTATACCATAGACCCTATGGGCGTAGCTAATGGTGGATAGGTCTAAAAAGCAAAAGGAGTAAAAATTGTTTAATTGAATAATTCATCGTAAGATATTACACATTACTTATAAGACAGGTCTTATACTAGAAAATAACCTAAGAAATTAAAATGGTTTCTAAAAGAAATCATCGACCACGAAGGGACTCGAACCCTCAATCTTCTGATCCGAAGTCAGACGCCTTATCCATTAGGCCACGCGGTCTTCTGCTAAAATGATTCCATTTAGCTTGCTATAAAGGTAAATTAACGACGTGGTCTATATTTAATTATGTATGCGGAAATGCAAGTTATATTATATGGTATGCTTCAATATCTAACATATTGCATCGGTCGTTAAGGTGTATTTTACAGTAACGGCGAGTGTACACAGTATTCAGTAACAGCTACCGACACCTTGTTTCCCGTTCCCGTGATGCATTGCGCCTAGCGCCAGGAAGAACCATTATTTTGATGATATGATTTTATCAGAAGTCAGAAGTCACTCCTTCCCTATTATCTACTTCTGATTTTATAAATAACGAAGCAGAAATTATTTTTATTTCATAAAATCATATCATCGAAAGTGAATAATAGATCTCTATATAAATCTCTATTATTCACTCCTGATATCATCACCTGCGCTGCATCGATCATTGGGTCCACCCAGGGGCGTGTACAGGTGGGGGGGGCAGGGGGTCTGGACCCCCACCCTGCTCGCGCAGAAAACGCATCTAAGGGGGTCTAATTTCAATATTTTTTGGGGGGAGGGACCCCCAGACTCCCCCTTCGCGTGCTCGCAAGTTTGGGTTACGGTTAGACACCCCCCCCCCCTGGTACAAATCCTGTACACGCCCCTGCCGATACGTATCTAATCAACGAAGATCAGAGACCTGAACAACGGTGTTTCCAACAATCGTCAAGTTTTATTCCATAAAACACCTGCATTACTCGCATTTGCTACGCCATTTTATTACAAAAAAGAAACAAAGCATTTCAGCTTCAGCACGAACCTAAAATGATCAAATCACGGACACATACATTGAACGTCATTAGAATGCATGGAGGTGGCCAAGGTCGTCAGTAACAGCTTAAATACAGCATATTATAGCATGCAGGAAGGGATAATTATTTTTTAAACTATGTTAACAGCATGTATTTAAATTGTACATACATACACACATACCTACATACACACATACATACACACACACACACATACATACACACACATACACACATACATACATACACACATACACGCACGCACGCACGCACGCACGCACGCACGCACGCACGCACGCACGCACGCACGCACGCACACACACACACACACACACACACATACGACACACGACACGACACGACACGACACACTACATACGATACACTACGACTACGCTACGACGACTACAACGCTAACGC